AAATTGTAACTTGCAGGCAGATGGTCTCATAGTTTTACCCTTTTTTTCTGAATGAAAGGCTCAATTGTGTTTATATTCTGTATTTATCATTGACTTTAGGGAATATATAGAAGAGGATTTAAGCAGTAAAGAGAGGGTTTTTAACTTCTTTTTATGTATCAAGAGTCAGAACTTTGTATTCAGTCTACTCTAAATTGCAAATCATATTGATAAATGCATGGCTGACTAATAAATGTTTGTTGTATTAGGTATCTCTGCCTTGCTTTTGTGAAGAGGATTAGATTTTTTATTTGTAGATCATGTGTCATTGGTTTTTTTTTTAATTCTTTTTTATATATCTTGCTTTAGTAATATCCTAGTAAGGTAAAATAGTCAGTTGTTAAAATTGGTTACACCCTATTAAAAAATAAAATAGAATAAATAAACAAACAGAATTCCTGAATTTAGTCAACTCCAGCCCGTCTAAGTGGTGTTGGGCTAGTTGCAATGTCCTCTCTCATTGCAGGATGCCACCACACCGCCCACGAGGCTGTGCTGCAGACGTTTTTGGGCATGATCATTCACTACATGCAAATGTTCGTGCTTTTGGTGGTGGTCCTGTTGATGGCCTTCTGGCTCTGTGTCACGGCGAGCCTTGTGACGCAGCTCAATGACCCCTTTTTGCCCAGGTCAGCAGTCTCTCATGGTCGACTTTTTTTTTTTTTTGGAGGGTCAGGTCGTTTAGTCAGTCAGAGAGGGAGAGGGGTGTGAGGGAATGACCTGGAAGGGAGTTTTGCATCGGCACTGAGATAGCCTCTTCATACAACTTCGCACCTTCATGTAACCTTGTCATCCCATGGACTGTGAGCAGTTCTTTCACCTTCTTTGGTGGATGACCTTTTTAATTTGTCTGTGCCGCTCTCAAAAAGAAACATATGGGCATCACTGAGCACCTGTTGTCATACATCATAGGGTTTTGATATATTGTTTATTGATTGTGCTTGCCTCTGCAACTGTGGACCTCTCTTGTTTTGTTCTGTTCTATTTTATGATCATCATTCTTGCAGATTTTCTGTGGTATGAGATTAACCCTGTTTATTCTCATGTTCATCTTCATTTGTGATGGGAGCTTTGCTGTCCCAGTGTTTGTCGTCAAATTGCCGGGTGTCAGTCTAGTGGAAATGCATTGTCTAGCTGTGTTGAATAATAGTCAGGTTTTTTTTTTTTTTACATTTGTTATTTATTGTTAGCATTTGGTGTTGAGTGGGATTACTTTGAGGAACATAAAGATTGTAGAATAGATGTATTTTTACTTTATTTTGATTGAATGCATAATAGAGTAATGTATCAAGACTTTGCTTTTTGATTATTAAAGCAGGATGAGGATAAGAATCTCAGAGTGCTAGGATTTTTTCACTTTATTTATTTATTTATTTTTTTTTTATGTCTTTTCTATTTTCGCGCTGAATTGTTTTGCAGGTGGCTATACATAAGAGAAATATGATACATTTGCAAATGTATTCAAATACATACCATTTCCATTTCCCTATCCTTTCAAGCTAATGTGAAATATCCAAGTGCACTTTCCAATCCAATGTCCCTTCCCACAAGCAAGATATTGAAGGAGTTCTGTTGTATCCTCCTCCTTCTCTTCCCCCTAAGAACCTCTCCCCCTTTCACCTCCTCATTCTCTTCCCCCCAAGAACCTCTCCTCCTTTCACCTCCTGTGTTCTCTCTCTCTCAGGTGACATGACCGCCGAGGAGCTCTTCAACATGTTCTTCGGGGGCGGATATCCTGGGGGCAACGTGTACGTGCGCCGGGGAGGGCGATGGGAGCGTGCTGGCCATGGAGGGGGTGGCCCAAGGTACCACGGCCAGCAGGGGCACCACCACCAGGCAGCCCACTCGGAGCAGTCAAACCTATCGGTGTTTCTGCAACTGATGCCCCTCTTGCTCATCCTGCTGCTGTCCTTGGCCTCGTCTCTGCTGTCATCCGACCCCACCTACTCCCTCTCGCCCACCAGGTTAATTGTCTTTGTTATGATGTACAAATACTTCTTAGTTAGATGAGCTAGGTGCAATGTGCATTTTTTTCTTTTTCTTTCTTTCTTTCTTTCTTTCTTTTTTTTCTTTTTTTCCCCCCCATAATTTTTTACTTTTGACTCGGTTATTTCTTTGAGGTATGTTTTATATTCATTTTTGTAGCTTCTACAAAAGTGTAGATTTACTGTAGATATATTCTGTACATTGTTTGGTAAGGTTTATAGATACACATACACACAGTGTCATGCATATATACACATACACAAACACACGCACACACATGTACATGTATTTATTTACACCACTGGTAGGGCTAGAAAACCACATATGTATACATATGTCCACATACATGTGTATGTATGCATATGTGTATATATTATATATATATATATATATATATTATATTATATATTATATAATATATATTTATATATATAGTATTTATTATATATAGATATACTATAGATATAGATATACATATAGATATATATACTTATAGATATAGATATACATGTAGATATATGTATATATAGATATATACATGTAGATATATGTATATATAGATATATACATAATATAGATATATAGATATATACATATATATAGATACATATCAATATATATATATAGATATGTATAGATATATATTATATATATATATATATATACATATATGCATACACCACACACACACACACATACACACACACACACACACACCACACACACACACACACCAACACACACACAACACACACCACATCACACACACACACACACACACACACACACACACACACACACACATACGCATGTACACACACATACGCATGTACACACACATAAGCATGCACACACACATACGCATGCACACACACACACGCACCACACACACACGTGCACGCACACACACACACACACACACACACACACACACACTGCACGCACACACACACACACACACACACGTGCAACCACACACACACACACACACACACACACACACACACACACACACACACACACACACAACCACACACACACACACCACACACACACACATACACACACACACACACACACAACACACACACACACACACACACACACACACATGCACATCACACATATGCACACACACACATACATACATACATACATACATACATACATACATACATACATACATACACACATACATACATACATACATACATACATACACACATACTCACACTCACACTCTCCCACACACACTCAGTCACTCACTCACTCATGCACACATGCACACAAACATGCACACATAGTTATTTACTTTTATTTATGTATGTATCTGTATGTATGTATATATGTATGTAACCATGATATTAATATTTCATAAGCTAATTGTGGTGAGATGGTACAGAGTGATCATGATTATTTACAGAAATTATGGTCATTATAGCTTTGGCTTTATCTTCACTCTCTTGCATGGTGAACAGTTTTTCAGTTTCGTCTATTTAGGACGTGTGCTTACCAAGCCCAGGCTCTCCATGACGCTGTAAGAGGTGTGAGCTGTGGCCTTGCATCCAGCAATTCCCAAATTTAAGTAGAGCCTGTGCGCTTCAAAAAATATTGTTTCAGTGAAAGATTCTGTAAACTCATTATCTGCTATAGAGTATGTTCGTTTTGGGTAATAGTGCATGAGAATCCATATTACTTTTCCCCTCAGTCAAGGTCAGCAAAAGGCTGTGAGCAAAGACTCTGACACGCATCAGCACCACTCCCCACCTTGTTGACTGAACCCCTTCCATTAGTTTATTTTCTGCAGCTTTTATAGACATGCACTTTATCCCCTCAGGCAGTTTTGTGTCTCATTATTTGGATATTTTGTGCACTGTAAGCATTTTCTAGTCATTGTTTGCTATATTTTTTTCTCACTCTTTCTATCTCTCTCTTTTTATCCAGTTTTCTTTTTGGAAAGTATGTAATGTTGCTCACATTTATATGATTCTCAAAAAATGTGGCATTGCAATAGATGTTCATTTCACACTGGCATTGGTAGTTTGCCGTTGCCAAGATTGCCTGAGATTTCTGCTTGATTAGATATTGTTGTAGCCAGTACTTGAGATTACAAAAAAGGACCATCTGATTCGTTTCTTATATAACAGATTTTTTAAACCCCAATATGCATAAAATTCCATGTGCATCTGTAGACTTGTATAGCATAAAAGAAAGGGACCTTATTCCAGCTCTTTCATAATGGAAATTTAGAGGAATGTTTACGGCCAATAGAAAGATGGAGCTTGATTTGGCAATGCAAAGAGGGGAGAAGACAGAGTAATTAATGGGAAAAGATTATCATGAAAAGAAACACCTTTACAGTCAGACTGCCTGGACCAGTAGGAGAGGGAGGCAGGTGAAAGGAGAAAAAGTTCTTAAAAGCTTTTGAAAATGTTAAGGTGGCCGTCCTGGGAAATGACCACCTTTCCTTACTCATTTCATCATAAAAAGAATTCGGTTGGAGATAACTCATTGATTCTTTTGCATAACATAGAGTATAGAATTGCGCTTCGTTTCATATATATTTTGACCTCGCTTCCCCATTGGATGTTAGATCTATCCTAGACAATGGCTGTGTAATATCCCGATGTATATATTTTTATTTTTATTTTTATTTATTTATTTTATTTTATTTTTTAAATTTTTTATTTTTTTTTTTTTTTTTTTATAAAAGTAGATATTTTTGTCTCAAAAGTTTAATAAATGCATTTTACCATAGAGACAACTAATCTAAACCAGATAAGAACCTTTTTTTAACTCTTTATTTTTTAATTTTTTTATTATTATTTTTCCATTTCGATTTTGGAAAAAAATGGAGAACTGTGGATGGCAATATCAGTACAAAACAGTTATAAAGTCCTAGCAGGTTTTCTTTGATAATTGTCAATATTAGCAGATTGCAAACAAGTGTAGAGTTTTTGATTAGCCATTTGCACCCATTATCTTTAATAAGAAGTGCATAAAATCATGCAGACGCCTAGGTGTGGTGGGATGTTTGTGAATTTATGGTACCTAAGACCTACGGTAACGTCTAGACGTATTATTTTTTATCGAAAACACACAAAACAGATGCGATAGCTCTTTCAACTCTAGCCAAAGACTACGCACAAAATTGAGTTCAATATTCCATAGTTTTTATTTCAGAGCAGGTATTACTGAGTACTGTCATCTTCAATATGAAATAATCAGTATCTCGCCTATACATCCGAAGTTCAAAAATCCGACTATTTGGTGACTTTCGTAATGAAGTCCTCTTTACAGCAGCAATGACCAATTTCAAATCAAATTAAATTTACCAATGCCATAATGTACCGACCGTTGAACGAAATGTAACAGAAATATTTCAATCCTTACTTATAAGGCTATTTTCAAACAGTAGTGCTATGTATGTGAGATATGTACAGATTACTGCAGAACCAACAACATATTACCAGGGAGTCTTGATAGAAGCATATTTCGTTTTTAAAAGGACTCAAAACTTACTTTTTTTCTGATATTGTTATAAAAGTGTTCCTTGAACATTCACAAACTCTTATTTATGCCGCAATTCATAATCAAATGCCGTATGCATGATTGCAGCAAGCAGAAGTCCACATAGGTGTACCTGGGTGCTCAAATGTGACGTACTTCTCAGGTGCTGAGCGAGTTTATGTCGGCTGCAAGACAGCGTGCGTAGCAGGCGCTTAATACTCATTGGTAGTTTGGTACCTATACTATACGCTAGCTAACTCGATTTGACCCCCTGTACCCCACCCACCCACCCCCCTGGGACGGTCCCCTTAAGTTGAAATAGGAACTGTTATACCAGTACATACAAAGTTTTTCTATTTGAAATAATAAAGAATGTGGAATGTAAAAGTATGGCAAATTATATATATATATTATATAATAAATATGAACAGATTAACAAGGCTTCTCTTTGGACAGAGACAAGCACAGTAACATTTACACAAAAAAATAACTGAAATCCTGCACTTTATTGTGGCAATGTTTCATTTTAGCTTCTGTCTTTCTCTCATTACATTTTCTGTAGTAAAAAGTTGACATGAACATCCAACAAAAATAATAGTAATACATTAATGCATTAAAAGAAAAAGGTTTGGGACATATGGCAAGGGAATCGTGTGTTGACAGACCAGAATTACACCAATTTGCTAATGTAACACAGAAGTTCTAACATCTGTGATATCCAATTTTTTATATACATTATTTGTTCATTCTTTACTTCATGCATTTCCCCCTTGTCTTTAATATTTAGTTTCTTCCTTCCTGGTATTATCTTTTAATTCTTGAACTTTCTCCCTTTCTCTTGCCTCCCTACCTCCCTCCTCTCTCCCTCTCTCCCTCTCTCCTCTCTCCCTCTCTCCTCTCTCCTCTCTCCTCCCTCTCTCCTCTCTCTCTCTCTCTCTCTTCTTCTCTCTTCTCTCTCTCTCTCTCTCTCTCTCTCTCTCTCTCTCTCTCTCTCTCTTCTCTCTCTCTCTCATCTCTCTCTTCCATCTCTCCCTTCCCTCCCTCCCCCTCTCATATATCCTGCTTGTCGCTCCCCTCCGTTGTCTGCTCCCCATGGTTCTGATCCCAGACTGCCCTAACCCCCATGCCAGACCTCTCAAGTACCTCTCTTTCCTCCCGGCAGCAAGACATGTCCAGCGTAGCACCTCAAACCTTGGTGTCCTACTATGTGAAGCCTGACTTTTCAACCGACTACCAAGGGAGCATTAGGCGGTTAGAGCAGCATGTAGAGGAGGACTATGTGTCTACTTCGAAATGCTGCTTTAAAGAGAAGAATTATAGTGAGTGGTCTGTTCTTATTGAGTTTTTCTTTACGCTTTGGTCTTTCTTTCAATCTCCNTCTCCCCTCCCCTACCTATGTCTACTCTCTCTCCACAATCTCCTCAAAATCTCTCTCTCTCTCTCGTCTCTCTCTGCTCTCCTCTAACACTTCTCTCTCCTCTAACTCTCTTCCTTCGTAACTCTAATTCTCTCTTTCTCTCCCCCGGTCTCAAACAAATATCAACTAATCACATATTCTTCTTCTTCCTCTTTTCTTTTTTTTTTTTTATTCTCTTTTCCTTTCTAATCTACCATTTCAAACCTTCACTTCCGCCACCTCCATTATCAGAGGAAAACAACCAGATAAATGCACAGATAACTCAGATCTCTGCTCTCTCTCTCTCATTCTCGTCTACTCTCTCGATCATACATACATCTATCCATCTCTATCTCATCCTTCTCAATTAGGGCTAGAATTTATATATCCTATACTCCTCTTGCCCTTTGACCATCTCTCACCCTCTTCGCTTTAAACTGGCGATTTTGCCCTTTTATTTCCAAGTCCAATCTTTAGTCTCTTTCTTTTTATTTCACCACATTTAACATCACTTCGGAGATAACACCGTCTCCCTCTCGCCTCACCTCATCTCACGCCCGGTTCCTCACACTCTCACACATTTTCGTCCTCCAGGATCCTCCTTACGTTCCACTTGGTATGTTACATCACATTCTTCCTCTTTAAGTGATGACTATAATAGCCTCCTCTTCGTATTTCATTTTCTTGATTATCTATTCCTTCGTATATTTTCTGTGATTATTGTTTTTCATTCTTCTGTTATTGCTCGTCTTTTTACCCTTTCTTTTGTCTTCGCTATTTCGTTTTTTCTTTATTTCTTTCTCTCTTCCTTCTTGTCCATACATACTTCACTTCTGACTTATATTTTTAAATATACCTTTTTTCTTTTTTTTATTAGCACCCCTCTCTCTATCTGTTATCCTGCTTTCCTCCTTCTTTTAGCTTTGTTTTCCTTTTCCTTCGTTCATCAGACCTCCTAATCATATAGACACTGTCCTCATCCTCTTTCTGCTTTTCTAAACCTCTATGCCACATTGTCATAACTCTCACTATTCCGATCTGCGATACCTGGGTGCCGGGAGTTCTATCCGCTTTCCCGCCCTCCAATGTAATCAAGGATCAGGATGACACACTTTCATGTCCATCCTCTTTGCGCGAGTTCCGCACTATTATCTTCAGACGCCTTTTTCTTCGTTCTTCACTTTATCCCTTCAGTCTCGATAGGAGTGCAGACACGCTATTTCGGAAACCTTCCTTTGCTTTTTGTTGCCAATGCCATTCTTATCTTTATGCTCTTTTTTTTTCTTATCTTTGCTGGTCCTTTATCTCCTCCATGTTCCCTTCTCCTCCCTCTTCCTCCCTTGTTACACCTATGCCACATTAAACAGATATATATTTTCCTTCCAGAACACCTACAGGTCTGGAACGTCATCGTTTTCCTTTCCTGTACTTTTTTTCCTGGTCACCATTGTTCACCTTATTCTCGCTATCCCTTTTCTCGATGTCATCTTTCTTATCCCTCCTCTCTGTTTGTGTAACCTGCCCCCCCCTTTCCTACCTCCCCCCTCGTCTTTGTTTTTCTTCTTTCTTTCCTTCCCTTTCCACTCTTCGTCATCCCTCTCTCCTCCTCTCTTTCTTTTTTTTTTCTTTCTTTTTTTTTTTCTTCTTTTTTTCTTTTTTTTTTTTTTTCCAAAGCCCCACTTTCCAACGTTTTTTCCTATCCTCTCTGTCTCCCCACGCCGCTCATCCCCTCTCCTCCCTCCCCCTTTAGACCACTCAACGCCAGCCCCACACAACAGCTTGGGGTCACAAAGCAAGCGGACCAAAATCATAATCTCCCCCTCGCCCTCCTCACCTATTCCGCCACCACTAACTCCCTCCCCCATCCTCACACCCCTCACCCCCCCCCCCTCTATCTACCACAAAACACCCCCCCATCACTTCCACACACCCCCCTACAACACACCACTAACAGTAACACAACGCTCCTCGCCCACTTCTCCCATCAACCCCCCCCCCACAAACACCACCGCCCCCACACCCTCTCTCGCGCCCCCCCAGCCCGAGCACAGCTTCCACAACAGCTGTGTCCTCGCACGAGACTATCTTGCCTACGTAATTTCTTTAATAATTCCAAAAATCTTCCGGTTGTTAAAAAGGGGGAATTATCCTGTATAAAAACAAGGAAATCGTCGTAGCTGCATACAGAAGCAGGTTGCATTGTCGATATTGAGTCTGAAAAAGTAGGAACATTTTGCGGAATTACATCGTGTGTGCCGAGGACCCGTGTATGTACGCTTAACAGGAAATGTACACACGACAAACAACACATGCAGTAAATCACCCAACAAATCAATCTCTATTATTAATATTATAGTATTATATCCATATTCATTATATGTATGCATATGCGATGCACATACAAATGTAAGTTCATGAATTTATTACCATTCAAATTCTCGCCACGCGCCTGTGCTTGTGTGACGTGCGTGTGTGTGTGCTAATTAGTCAATATATGCGTTTTCCTCTTATCGTCTTTTGAAACTGAAAGTTTTTGTGAACTTTCAATGAATGTGAATGATGATATCGCTAATCATTCTGGATTCAATAACACGAAGAAAATTATATGGCAAAATCTTGTACCCATTAAACAATGATAATAAAATTGTAATCTTATTTCTAATAAAAATTGTATGAATGCTATATTTGAAATCGAGTGTATTATTATCTAATCTTTTGATCCCAAGATTTCCTACACATAAAAATAGTGATCCTGGTACATGATATTTGGTGCGTTAAGAGGCATAAAAAGGTCAAAACAAATAAAAAAACACATGCGCTCATGTATAGCATAAATACATAGAGAATGTCATGCTACACAAATACTTAAGTCTCTATCTCGCCCTCTCTATCTACTCATTCCAACTAATCTGATCCGTATGTATATATATAAATATCACATAAGTATATTGCTAAATATATTATAATATATATATATATATTACTATATATATATAAATATTCATATATAATATACTATACTAGATCATACTGAGTGTCTATATAGTTATATACATTATATATATATATATAGTTTAATATATGTATTTATATCATATCCATATGCTATATAATTGATATATAATATGATATATGTTATATATATATATATAGTATTATATAGATATTTATTATATAGTAATGTATATTTATATAATAGGTATAGTTATATCTATATATTTATGACATATTATATATTATATATATGATAATATATGATATAAAGTATAATATATAGTTTTAGAACTAATATAGTATATATATATGGAACATATATCTATATATATATAGTATTAATATATATAGTTATAGGATATATATATAGTATATATATAGATCTCACTGTCAACTCACCATCAATATTCATTATATATACCATACTCACTACACTATTATAATATATTATATATATATATCTATATTATATATCTACTACTCACCTCTGCTAACTGTGTCGTGTATTTATATATTTAGTATATAGTGTATATATATATACTAATTTAGTATAATATATTTTATATGATATAGTATTATATACTCATATATTATATAGTAGTAGTATAGTTTTATCTATGATTGTATATTTATATTATGTATTAATGGGTAGTGTATATTATTACTGCAATTTAATAAAATGACAATTAATATATTATATGTTATATCGCATAATATATATATATATATAATATATAATATACTACAGTTGTGTATGTATTATATATCTGTCAGATATAATCCGATATACATAATATATATATATATATCAATATTCTATCATATAGCCCTCACACTTTATCAATCACCTGTATATTATGGCCAAAGATTAGCTACATACTAAACTATATATATATATATAATAATTATATATATATATACTTATAATAATATATATATATAATATCCACATATATATATATATATATATTATACTTAATATCTAGCTATATATCATATATATATACACATATATAGTATTTATATATATAATGATATATCATTCACACTCATCATCATCTAATAAATAATACAAGCGTTTTGAATATCTATAACATTCAGTATTTAAATATGGCCTATAGTAGTGGGTTACAAGTCTTGCTACACACACATATTTTTATTTTATATCCCTATTGGCCATTTTTCAGTATCATTCCACTGTTCATCACATAAATTATTCTTCCTCTTCATCTCATTCATCTGATAATCATACAATCATTGATCATTATTACATCATCAGGCTAATTCGAAGTGGGACAGCAACGTATAGTATATCCATTAGAACCATAGTAAATAACAGGATGAGTCAACACACATGATAGTGAGCATAGATATAACCAAGAAAGAGTACAACTTGATAAAAATGCAATGAAAGCGTTGTTGTTAGTAGGCCCCCTACGCGATTATACACATGGAATCACTAATCTGGGCCAGCACACATAATTAATTACTGATCATTAGTATAACATTGAACGGACATTAATGCTAACCCGAACGGTACCACCCACTCGGACTGGTCGCAATCGTGTACACATAGTGCCCATCATATCCAATCATACAAAACGTACACACGCAACACACACAACAATACACACCAAACATACAGAACCGCAATGAACACACGACATCCTGTGAGACGAGCCTCGAGCCGGCGATCTAGACGAACAAATTCACCCCACACATAACAACACCAACAATCACAACACGATATTAAAACGACACACACATAGAGTAATCCAACATAACATCACACATCGTCTCCACACTCACACGAGAGACATGACCACACATGCTCTACAATACACACAACACACACACAGACATAACACATAAATATAATCCAAGCACACAGATATCACAACAGCACACGACGAACAAGCACGAGCACATAAAAACACTACAATACAAGAGCATACAACACACACACACACACACAGACACACACACAATCCAGCGATGAAACCACAACAACGCAGTCTAACACGACTACATCAAACACAATCACACACACAGGTTCGATGGGAGCGCCTGAGATAACAAAGGATGATAGGTGGTCCGGAGAAGGAGGTAGGGGGAGCCGAAAAGAGAGAGGAGAGGAACTAAGGATTTCCTGATAGCGGTATGAGCGGATGGTAGATGGAAGGGGTCCGTAGGGGGGGGGGGGGAGGTAGAGAAGGGGTCATGGGGGAGGGGAGGGAGAAGCGAAGGGGTCCGTGAGGGGGAGCGGGGGGGAGGGGGGCGTCGGATTAAACCCCTAAATCAACAAGCCTCAACTTTCTCCTTAAATTTCAGTGCCGCCGCCTCGTCCCCTCTGCTTGACCTTCGCCTTTCTAGCGATCCCCCCAAATGGGTCTATAAATGCACCCCGAGAGTTAAGGATTAGGGTTATATTCACATCCCCAATCTTCGTTTCTTTGGTCTTTCTCTTTTCGTCCTCTCTCTTCTCTCGTTCTTCTTCTCTCTCTCTCTCTCTCTCTCTCTCTCTCTCTCTCTCCTCTCTCTTTCTCTCTCTCATTCTCTTTTCTCTCGCTCTTCTTTGTTTCCTTATACTCTTTACGGTTCATCTCATTCTCTTTCGATTCTTCTCTTTTTGTCCTGTCTTTTTTGTCTTCTTATTTTTTCATTATTCTCCTCTTCCCCTTTCTTTCGTCTGTCTTATCATAATCTTCCACTGCTCTTTCTTTGCCCTCAATTTCTCCTTCAACTCCATTCCTTCTCTTTCTTCTTCTTCCCCTGATTTTCTCTCTTTCCTTTTCTCTTCCTGTTTCCTTCTCATACCTACTATTTCCATCCTACATTTCTTCAGCCTCCCCAACTCCCACCTTCTCCTCCTCTCCTCCATTTTCCCATAATCTCTTTTCTACATATTCTTCCCCCAATTTCCTCTCATATCCCTCTTTTACCTTGATTCTTTCATTTTCTTCTTTCTTATATCCCTCCCTCAGCCTTTATCAGTTCCTCTTTCCCTACTATATTTACATCCTCCCTCTCTTCTCTCCCTCCCTCTTTTCTCTCTCTCCTTTCCCTCCTCCTGTTATTCTCTCTCTCCTTTAACTCCTCTTATTCTATCTCTCCTTTCCCTCCTCCTCTTTTCTTCTCTTCTTCTCTCTCTCTCTCTCTCCTCTCTGTCTCTCTCTCTCTCTCTCTCTCTCTCTGTCATCCCTGCTCTCGTCTCTCTCTCTCTCTCTCATCCTTCTCTCTCTCTGCTCTCTGCTCTCTCTCTCTCGTCCTCGCTCTCCTCCTCTTCTCTCTCTCTCTCTCTCTTCATCTCTCCTTCTCTCTCCATCCTCCCCCTCTTCGTCCTCCTCTCTCCTCTCTCCTCGCCCGTCCCCTTCTTCCTTTTCGCCCCCCAAAACAGACGCCGGATGGAAATTGGTTATTATCTTTGGATTTAAGGTTATGGCCTTCGCCGCGTTGATCTAACTTCATATAAAGCCCGCGAAATTCCGACCGGGATTGGATAGGATAACGGCGGCGGAGGAGGAGGAGGAGGAGGAGGAGGAGAGGAGGAAGGAGAGGAGGAGGAGGAGGTGTGAGGAGGGGAGGAGCGAGGAGGGACGGAGGAGGGGGAGGAGGGGAGGAGGAGGCTGGAGGAGCAGGTAGGAGGTCAGGAGGAGTGAGGATAGGAGAGGAGGTGGAGGAGGAGGAGGGGAGGAGGAGGAGGCAGCGGGAAGGAAGGAGAGGAGGAGGAGGAGGAGAGGAGGGGTAGGGAAGGAGAGCAGGGAGGTAAGGAGGGGGAGGAGCGGCGCTCGTCTCTTTTTTCTTTGTGCCCCTGACTGAGCCCGAGCGTGCAGTAGTTTTTCCCAGGAGGGGGGCGTGTGCGTGTCGCGTGGGGTGTGAGTGCCTGTCGCCGTGTAACTCAATCGCTGATATGTATCATTTACATCCATATAAATCTAAACAGACATACACACATACATATATCAAACAGCACACACACACACACACAACACACATACACAACCATAAAACACACACACACTCACAAAGCACACCCCACCACACCACACCACACACAACACACACACACACATATAATATATATATATATATATATATATATATATATATATAATATATTAATATATATATGTGTGTGTTGCTGTGTGTCGTGTGTTTGTGTGGTGTGGTGTGTGTGTATGTATGTATATTATTATTATATAACACTAACGGCTATGCATTATTGTTCTATTTTTTTATTTCTTTTATAGTTATCTTATTTTCATCATCATAGTTATCATTCTTTACAATGCTATTTAAATAATGAAATATTTTATATCTTTTATATTATAATCATCATTTAATGCATTTTGAAAAATCATATTGCAGTTGTTGGTGTATTAAACACATCAATTATTGTATTATATCATTAATCAAGAGTAACTAACAATCAATTATCACAGTATTATCATTAATTATCTATTATCATTAACATCATTTACCTATGCAACTATTGCTGTTGTATAATTATTAATTGGGTTTTATTGTTATGCATTAATTCAATTAACTTATCATAAATGTCATTGATATGATTACTATTTCTGTAACTATTATTATTATCATCTGCTGCCATATCCATCAATCTTTAATAAATTGATATAATAAAAATAAGGAAGCCTTAATTTTTTGGGTTTAAAAATCCCAAAAGTTCCCCCTTTTATTTTATTATTTGTTATCATTATACCAGTTAACAGATTATTATTCATTGTTATATACATCATTTGTTTTTTTTTTATAAAATTTAATTTTAATATCATTTCTATTATTAGCAGCAGTATACTAAATACTATTGTCATTATTACCATCACTATCATTATCATTATCATTATTACTAGTAGTAGAACTACTACTACTACTATTATCACCATTATCATTATTGTTATTGCTGATATTATTATATAATACTTACTATTGTTAAATTAGTAGTATTAATTTTCTCATCATTATTCATTTTTCATTATCGCTATTATTATTATCACTATCATTATTGTTGTTGTTGTTATTGATATCATTATCATCATCATTATCACTATTAT